GCATTCATTATCACCAGCCCTGACTTTGAATTCAGAGAGGAATCCTGTTTCAGTTCATTATCTCTCTGAGTTCCGGCTTCATCAGTCTCCATTAGGAGGTACCTTGCCTTTCTGCCAGCAGGCACTGCAGGTGAGTGGCCCCGTTCGCTGCCACAGGTGCTGGCTGCCAGCAGCCTCGCCTCAGCAAGCACTTCCCCCTCCACCGGCCTGGCGTCCGCAGGCAGAAATCCATTTTCCTCAGGAGGGACGACGCGTCCTCTCTTCTGAAATCTGTGGCTGACACTCGGCGCCCCACAGCAAGTTCTTCCCGAACCGCCCACGCCCTTCCATCCATGCACCTGGCTTTCCATTCCCGCTAGTGGGAGTTAGCTCACCACCTCGCTTCTCACCTCCAGCGAAACCCTGGTCCCCAGAGCCATCCAGACTGGCCGTTCAACCCACCTGTCTTGGTGTCTCCCCACTACTATCAACCCATTAACAGGAAAAATACAATAAAGCAATCAGGGCCCGCTGCTGACAGAAGGAAGGGGAAGGAAGAGAAGAAAGATGGTGAGAGTCTGAGGACGCAGGGATGGGGAGGGGCCCCTCCAAGGAGGGGGAGACTGCAGGCCTGTGACATGGTTTTTAATTGGTCTGGGAAAAAAAGTCTCCTAGCCCTTAATTTCACATAAAAGCCAAGGAGGTGGGCCTAAAATGCGTTTATGTTCGTGGCCTCTGAGTTTGCTAAGACCAAAAAAAAAAAAAAAAAAGAAAGAAAGAAAGAAAAAGAAAAAAAAAAAAACACTGACCCGGTTGGCAGCAAACATGTCCCAGCTGGGCCAGGAGTCATGGCGTCCGCGCGTGAGGAGCCGAGAGGCAAGCAGGTCTTGTTGAGTCGCCCTCCACCCTCAAGGATCCAAAGCCTCCCAGCCCCACACGAAAGACACCTCACGGGGCCGCGGACATGATTGAGCACCGAACAGAACGTCCCACGTACCTGACGCACGGACACGATGCAGCAGGACCCAAAGATGGCCCCCTGTATCTGAGGCGCGGACGCGAGGGAGCACGGAGCAGAAACCCAAGAGCTCCGCACTCACCTGACGGAGCGGGCTCCTTCCTCTCCAGACACCGGCTTCCCTGGGTCACCTCAGGCCTGCTCACAGAGCGCTGAAGACACTGGGAATTTCCATTCCGGGGAGTGTGGGGCCGTGCCTTCACCGCCAGCGCCAGCGAGCGTGGGTTGCCAGGACCCCTTTCCATTGCAGACAGGGCGTGGCCTCCTGTCTCCCAGAGCGTCTCACTTTGTTAGAGACTGCCCTATGCTTCCCTTCCTGATCCCATGCCCCGCCGACTTTTCCTGGAGATACTTCCTCATCTGTCACTTCCACCCGAGTTTTCATCCAAGCGAACCTAACCTAGGACATCCCAGGCTGAAGACAAGAGGCTGCAAGGGGCAGGGGAGGGAGAGAGAAACATCAGCTGGTGGCAGGACAGGTGTAGGGGGCAATGAGAGACAAGGGCCCGACGAACGGTCGCGGTGGGGAACGCGCCACCCGCCAGATGCCCTGGGTCTTCTAAGTGCGGTGTGTGCACACATGCAACTGTGTGTGTAGGCTTTTCCCTTTCACTCTCTGCATTGCATGCCCTTCAGACATTACAAGCACTGCTTAAAGAGTTGCATATTATTTTTTCCCAAAATGTGTTTTCTTCATACTTTCCTAACTTTGGTAACAAGAAAATAACTTTGACAGGAAATAAAGTAAACGAAAACACAGTTTACAGAAATGGCATTATGAGAGCCTCTAGCCAAGTAACTAGAATAAACACAGGAGGAGGAGACAGGCGTGGAAAGATTCCTATCTGGTCCTCCTGCCTAAGCTAAGAGGGCCAGCCCCAGCTCTGTGGTGGGTTGAGGGCACCAGTGCTTTGTAGATCTTAATGCATTTAACCTGTGCAACAATGCTTTGAGTAAATGTCTTGGTCCATTTTTCTGTTGCTATAACCGAATGCCACAGACTAAAGAATATATAAAGATCAAAGGTTTGAGGCAGGCATTTGGCCTAGTGTTAAGATGCCAGTTAAGATGCTGGTGCCCTTTATCAGAGTGCCTGGGTTTGAGTCTCAGCTGTTGCTACAGATTCCAGCTTTCTGCCAAGGCAGGCTCTAGTAGGCACCTGTGATGCCTCAAGTAGTTGGGTCCCACCACTGATGTGGGAGACCTGAGTTGAATTCCTGGCTCTTGGCTTCAGCCTGGCCCAGTCCTGCCCATTGTGGCCATTTAGGGATCGAACCAGTAAATGGGAGCTCTGTCTCTACCTTTTTGGATTTAAAAAAAAAAAAAAAAAAACTTTTTTAAAGGGTGAAGCTTTTTTGACTCATGGTTCTAAAGGCTGGGATGTTCATGATCAGCTGGCTGCATCTGATGAGGTCATTTGTGCTGGTGAGGACTCTCGACAAATGCCCAGGGATGGTGCAGGGCAGCCCATGGCAAGAAAGACTGTCCTAGATCAGGCCTCTCTTCTTCCTATAAACCACAGTCCCACTGAGTTAGGGCCCCGCCATAATGACCTCCCAGAGATCGCACCTCCAAATAGCATGGATTCAGTTTCCTCTCTTTCAACTGCCTCACAGTGAGTGAATCTTGCTGGGGGCAGTCAAATCGTAGTGACACATATTGTTACTGTCCTTGTTTCACAGATGAGGAAATTGAAGCACAGAATACAACAGGGGCTGGCACTGTGGCTTAGCGGATAAAGCCATGGCCTACAGTGCCCGTGTCCCTTATGGGCGCTGGTTCGAGTCCCAGCTGCCCAACTTCTGATCCAGCTCTCTGCTATGGCCTGAGGAAGCAGTAGAAGATGGCCCAGGTTCTTGGGCCCCTGCACCCATGTGTGGAACCTGGAATAAACTCCTGGCTCCTGGCTTCAGATTGGCACAGTTCTGGCCGTTGCAGCCAACTGGGGAGTGAACCTGCGGATGGAAGACCTCTCTCTTTCTCTCTCTCCCCTCTCTCTTTCCCCCTCTCCCTCCTTCCCTCTGCCTCACTATAACTCTGCCTTCCAAATAAATAAATCTTTAAAAAAAGAAAAATATAACAAAAATCTTTTTCCTGCCTCATATAACTAAGGAATAAAATAATATATGTGAAATATTTTAAGTTTTTTTAAAAAAATTTGTTTGTTTATATGAGTTACAGAGAGAGAGAGAGAAAGAGAGAGAGAGAGAGTGCTTCCATCCACTGATTCATTCCCCAAATGGCTGCAATGACTAGGGCTGGGTTAGTCCAAAGCCAGGAGCTTCAACCAGGTTTTCCATGTGGGTGGAAGGAGCCCAAACAGTAGGGTCACCCTCCACTACTTTTCCCAGGCCATTGGCAAGGAGCTGGATGAGAAGTGGAGCAGCAGGGCCAATGCTGTGGCATAGTGGGTAAAGCCTCCACCTGCAGTGCCTGCATCCCATATGAGTGTTGGTTCAAGTCCCAGCTGCTCATCTTCTGATCTAGCTCTCTGCTATAGCCTGGGAAAGCAGTAGAAGATGGCCCAAGTCCTTGGGCCCCTGCACCTATGTGGAAGACCTAGAAGTTGTTCCTGGCTCCTGGCTTTGGACCAGCTCAGCTCTGGCCGTTGTGCCCATCTGGGGGAGTGAACCAGTGGATGGAAGACCTTTCTCTCTCTTTCTTCCTCTGCCTCTGTGCCTTTCAAATAAATAAATAAATCTTAGAAAAAAAAAAAAGTGCAGCAGCCAGATACAAACTGGTGCCCACATGAAATGCAGGCACCACAGGTATTGGCTTTACTTGCTAGTCCACAATTCCCCTCCCCTTTTGAACAAGTCTAATGCACCACAAGTGTGTACAGTATTGTTATTATGACTGCAGTTATCATTGACCACAGTAACAGCTGTCAGAGCTATGGACCTATCCTTGGTATAAATGATCTTTCCCTGAAAATCTTACAACACAGAAAGGCTACATGCCTGGGGCCTGTGTTTACCTGGAGGTTGTGGGGTTCCTTCTGTCTGTAGTGGGAGCCTCAGTTTGAACCTAAGGTCTCTCTCCAAAGGATGTTGAACTTGCAGTACCAGTGCATGTGACCTTGCTTGGAAATAGAGCCTTAGCAGATGATCAAATTAAGGTGTGGTCATTAGTGTGGGCTCTAAACCAAAATGAATGGTATCCTTGTAAAAAGGGAAGACTGAGACAGACACAAACTTACAGACATGGAGAGAATGGTATCTACAAACCAAGGAATGCCTGGAGCTACCAAAAGCTTAGACAAATCCTCCCTCATAGGATAAACCATCCTGCCAGCCCCCAGAGTTCAGATTTCTGCTTCCAGAAGCGACAGAATACATTTCTGTGGTTGAGGCCACCCAGCATGTGAGGCTTCATTACAGCAGTCCTAGCAAACTAATACAGCCTCCCAGTGACACACTGCCTGCTCCTTCTGCCCCTGAGAGGGGGTACTCCTCTAACCCCCATCTTGGGTCAAGGCTGGGGGGAAGAAGGTGGGAGAGTTCTGAGCCCAGGACAACCAATCCAAGGCACCAGGATTGGTGCAGCTGGGCTCAGGGAGATGACCTGGAAGCACCATGTTCTCAGACAATAGCACATTGCAATGGGTGGTGGGTTCCACTTTGGAAGTTCATGTAGACCCTGACATGTGGCAGCCATCTTGAGTTGTGTATAGGACGAGTAAGCAGAGGAAACTTGATAGGAGAATGGAAAGAGGCACAGCTAGGGAGGGGGAGGGAGAGGGAGAGGGGAGAGAGGGGGAGAGAGACACTAGCTGGGTCCTCCCTAAAGCCGGTTGTCTCTGGGTTCCCACATATGCCCTTTCTGTCCTCTGATGACTTGTCTGTTCTTTTTCTCATACCTGAAATGGCCTGAGTATGGCTCAAAATAGAAGAGTTAGTCCCTGGAGGATGCTACCTTATACAGCTGTGACTGAGACATTTTACTTGGTTCAGCTTCCCATGTTTCTTGTCTTAATCTGAGAAAAAGTGGAGCAGTGAGCGTTTTTATTTTTTAAAAAGATTTTATTTATTTATTTGGGAGGTAGAGTTACAGACAGAGAAAGGGAGAGACAGAGAGAGAGGTCTTCTATCCACTGGTTCACTCCCCAGATGGCTGCAATGGCCAGAGCTGAGCCACTCCAAAGCCAGGAGCCAGGAGCTTCCTCCTGGTCTCCCATGCGGGTGCAGGGGCCCAAGCAGTTGGGCCATCCTCCACTGCTTTCCCAGGCCATTGGCAGAGAGCTGGATCAGAAGAGGAGCATCTGGGACATGAACTGGCCTCCACATGGGATGCTGGTGCCACTGCAGGCGGAGGCTTAGTCTGCTGTGCCACAGCACAGGCCCCAGAATTTAAATCTTAGCAACTGCTTAATCTAACAGTCCTATGCCATTAGGCCCAAGGTGGAAGTGTTTTGGAACACTGTGATGGAGTGTAACTTCCAAAGAGGGAGAAATGTGGGGGTGGCAGTGGACACATAAGGCTAATGAGGGGCCTGCAGCTGGGGAGGGCTGTGCAGACCAGTGCTGAAGAGCCTTGCAGATCATCCTAAGCAGTTTCACCATTTACCTGGAAAAGGAACTTGATGGGCATTTTAGAGAGAGGACGACATCAGCAGATGTAGAATGGAGGGCAACCGGACAGGGGGTAGGGAGTGTAAGCAAGAGGCTATGGCAGGGATCCAGCTACGAGATGAAGGTGGCCTTAGATGAAGACCAGCCCCGGGATGAGGATGGAGGCAGAGATCAAGAGAAATGACATGAAGGTGATGGGCCTAGTGAGTGAGGCACTCCCCTAAGAGGGGAGGCAGGATAGAGGAAGACATGGTCTGTGAGGTGGCTGGGGACAGAGAGGCGAGCTCTGGGGCCAGGAATCAAGGGAGCAACCTTCCTACCCCGTATCACCCCAAGGCTCAGCTCCTGAGGCTAATGGTGCAGGTAGCCCAGTGCGGCCCATCCCTCAGGGACTGATGGTGTGAGCCATGCCCCCAGCCACAGACATGCTTCTCTCCAGGTGCTGCCTGCTCATGCCTTTCTAGTGCTCCGTGTTTGCACATCCAGGGGGATCAGAGCTCACATAATCATAATATGTGACAAAGGCCTCGGGATAAGCCACGTTAATGAAGACAAATGAAGCAGCCAAGTGCTGCAGCTCCCCGGGCTGTGCCCAGTGCACAGGGAGCTCCTTTATGGCTGCGGTTCTTGCCTTGCCCGACTGAGACGAGCCAGAAGCTGCATACCAGGGCGGGGGTGCTAGGGCCACTGCCTGGACAGCTCCAGCTGGGAGAAGGTGGTTGCTGGGGCTTTGAGGGAATTTTAAGAAGATTCTAAGAGCATGTTTACACACTTGTATGAAAGCTATCTTGAGGGAGATATGCGCGTAGAGATTAGCTGGAGACAGTGGTCTGATCCTGTTACATAAACAAGCTCATCAAGGGGGTGGCTGATTGGGAAAGTAGCTATTAGAATGTTCATTCCAGTCAGTGAGCAGCCCGCCCCAGAAGGCAGCTCCTCGCTGAATCCCCTTCTCCCATCTAAGGCCACTTAGACCATTACCCTCTTCTGTTTCTCTTTGTGACAGGAAAGAAACATTCAACTTTGAGACCCTCTCCTGGGGTCTCAAAACAGGCAGGTCCTGGAAACAGGCAGGTGTTTCTGATCCAGCAGCGAGGACCTGACCTGGTAAAGTAGCTATGGCTGTGGCCAGGCTCTACCCCACCAGGCCAGGGTTTGAGGCTCAGAACCAGTGCAGACAGCCCCTAGAGGTGCAAGACAGTGGTCTCATGTGCTTCTGTGAGGGAAGGTGAAGAAATGTCCATTTAACAGGCAGATCTGCTTGTTGTAAAAAGCACTGGCTGGCGCTGCGGCTCACTAGGCTAATCCTCCACCTAGTGGTGCCAGCACACCGAGTTCTAGTCCCGGTCGGGGCGCCAGATTCTTTCCCGCTTGCCCCACTTCCAGGCCAGCTCTCTGCTGTTGCCCGGGAAGGCAGTGGAGGATGGCCCAAGTGCTTGGGCCCTGCACCCCATGGGAGACCAGGATAAGTACCTGGCTCCTGCCATCAGATCAGTGCGGTGCGTCGGCCGCAGCGCGCCGGCTGTGGCGGCCATTGGAGGGTGATCCAACGGCAAAAACGAAGACCTTTCTCTCTCTCTCACTATCCACTCTGCCTGTCAAAAACAAACAAACAAACAAACAAAAAAACACAACACTGAGGCCTGGCAGCCGGAAGAATCCTGCAGTCATGGGCGTGGGCACTGTGTTATTCAAGAGCCTGCAGGAAGGACGGCCTCCTCTCCCTTCTCCCGAGGGGTGTCTCTGACAGGACATTAAAAAAATCCCTTATCAGAGTCTAAATGGAACGTTCTCAGAAATTTCCCGGCACAAATTAAACAAGCCAGTTTCATTAGGTCAATATGAAGGGGTTTGAAACTAATTAATCAGTGTAGTGATGAGATCAGCCAAAGACAGAGAGACAATGGAATGAAAAGTTGGCAAGCTGGTCAAAGGCCTGGGTTCAGACAGTGAGCTCACACTGGATCTCCTCCCCTGTGGAACAAATTCCAAGCGCTCAGTCAAAGAAAGTCGAGTTGGGTGACAAATCTGCTGTCGCCAGCAATATTCTTCAGGGAATACTCTCTTAATGACACTCAGATTGATTTTCCATTCCTGGAAGAGACAGAAAGATGTGGAAGTGATCAGAAAACATAAATATCTTCTAATAAAACCAGGCAGGCTGCTGGAGGAATACATGTGTACAGGGGAAATAAACAATAAAAACACTGCTCTTTGGGGACACGAGTTTCCAGCATCGATAGAGTGTGTGGGAGCCAATCAAGCTGGGATGGAAACAGCGTGGTGCCTCTCCGTCACAGTATGGAGCTAGCAGCCACACCCTCCTGGTGCGGGCAGAGGAGGAAACTCACAGGGAGGCCCAGGGCTCATCTCTCTGGCTTGTCTCCTCCTCTCCTCAGACAAAAGATTGGGCAAGATGAACTCTCAGCCTCCTTGTGGCGTTCCGATACCACTCTTTGGGACCAGTCCCGAGCTACCGTGCAAGGTGGCCAGGTCAGTGTCAACCAAGAGCTGGCAACAACTGTGTTGTGGGAAGGAACAAGGTGGGACTCCTGAATCAGAGCTGGAGCTGGACTCAACCAATCTCACCACTCCATTTATCAGAATCATCCCAGACCCTAATCAAATGTCACCACACTGCTTTATACTTGTGTGGCACCTTGCCAGTCATGTAGTGGCTCAAATGTACATTCCCCCCACCCCCCTGTCCTGTATCTTCTGGAGCAGGGAAAAGCCATCAGCTTTTGGAACCTGAAAGAATTTGGTTCAACTACCTGTTATACCACTAGCTGGTTGTGTGAGTCTAGATGTTTATTTCCATACAATGATATGTTAGGTAGCCAATAAGAAGAATGGAGTGGCTCTATAGGAACTCACATGAAAAGATGTTCATGATACATTATGTTAAAGTAAATAGCAGGGGTTGGTGTTGTGGTGTAGCTGGTTGAGCCACCGCTAGGGATACCCACATCCCATATTGGAATACCTGCTTCTGATCTGTCTTCCTGTTAATGTGCACCCTGAGGCGGCAGATGATGACCCAAGATGGAGGGTCCTGGCTCCTGCCTTTGACCAGACCCAGCTCTGGCTGTTGCAGGCCTTTGGGGAGTGAATTGGCAGATGGGAGACATCGGTCTTCTTCACTTTCTTTTAAATAAATAAACTAAAAAAAAAATAAATAACAGTAAATAGTAGACAATAGGCCAAAACTCAGAAGCAACCTAGGTGCCCATTGATGGATAAATGGCTAAACAAAATGTGGTATATGCAGATAATAGCATGTTATTCAACCTTGAAAGGGAAGAGAATTCTGACATATCCTACAACATGGGTGAACCTCGAAGATATTATGGCAAATGAAATAAACCAGTTGCAAACAAATACTTTCTGATTCTGTTTGAATGAGATACCTAGGGTAGTCAAATTCATAGAGGCAAAAAGTGGAAGGGTGATCGTGAAGGGCTCAGAGGAGGGAGGAATGACAGGTGAGTGTTTTTCTAGGTGCAGGGTTTCAGTTTGGGGAGATAAAAAAAGTTATGAAGATGGATGGTGGCAATGGTTGCAGGACAATGTAAATGTACTTAATGCTGTGAACTGAACAACTAGAAATGGCTAAAATGGTGAATTTTATGTTCTATATATTTTATCACACTTTAAAAAATAAATGGCAGAATATACTAAGTCCAGCAAGATTCCATTGTGGTTACATTTTCTTGACTCTCCATATTCTCTGTGGATGGGGAAGTCTGAACAGCTGTACACCACACTGGCAAGTGGAATCTCTCTGGGGGGTGGGATAGCAAAGGTGTGGTAATGGATGGCATGATGGACAAGCTGCTTGTGTCTCAAGGCATAAAGACTTGCATTAAATTTTGACAGGCCAGCAGCAACAAATCCTGCTTCTCGAGGGCCTCTCGGGCTCAGATGGAAAAGGTATTCACCATTTCTGTTGTCACTCTGTGACTCCTTCAGGGGACGCTATGACTTTCTACCTTTTTTTTTTTAACACCATATATCATCCAAACTCCTTATCCTGATATTTAAAGTCCCTGTATAACTGGGATGCAAACTCCTACCATCCCTGTTAGCTGTCTCTGTGGCCAGGGTACCAATTCAATAGTCCCTGAGCATCGTTTCTCACTTCAGAGGCGCTGAGCAAGCCACTCCCTCCATAACCTCCCATCTATGTCCAGAGATCTCATCTATTCTTCCAGGACATCGTCTCTGAGTCCCTCAGGTGCAAATCTCCTTCCTCCCTCAGGACAATCCTCACGTGGGGCCCATCTTTGATTCATTTCATGTGTGAGTCTTCTCCCTTCCCCGCCATGGACCCCGTGTTCCCTGAGAGAAAGGACCAGGCCTTATGTAGCTTGGAATTCCCTGGGAACTCACTAGAGTGTAAGACCACAACTGCACAGTGCAATCTGCACAACCCTAAGAGCGGGTACCTCCTCCATCTCTGCACCCAAGGCACTCTGCTCACTCACCTCACCTCGCCTAGCTACCAGTCACTGAGGGCTCGGGAGCCAAGCACTGAGCTAAAGGAAGGGCCGTATCACTGCGCTTTGTCCTCCCAACAGTTCCATGATAGAGCTGTTATTATCTCCACTTCACAAATGAAGAAAACACAGCTTAGAAATTAAACAACTGGCTAACGATCCTACAGCGAAAGTCAGGATCGGCACTCAGGCCTGGCTGATTCCAGAGCATGTGGTCCCAATCATTGCAGTCGACTGCCTCACCCGTATACTCGCACACACAGCCATTCAATGCTTGTGCGGTTCACGAGTTTAAGAGGACAGAGGGCAGCTTCCTGCTGAGGGCACAGTAACTGTAGACCAGGGGCTAGAAGAAACCACACAGGGCTCTGGGCTCCTTTGGCTGGGCTGGGCGCTAGAAATATCAGTTTTGTTTCTGTTTTCAGCTTTCAAAAAGCAATTCCATGTGGCTTCTGTGGCTTTGCTATCTTCCTCAATTCATTTCAGACACCAATTTCTCTCCAGCAAAAACCAGGGCCCTGCTCATCTCTGCGGTTAAATCAGGAAAGAGGAGGGAGTGGCTAAGAAAACCTCGCAAGATTCTGACTTCAGAAACACGGGCGTGAAGGGACATGCCCTGCAGATCCGGGCACTACAGCTTCTGAGCTCTTGACGTACCCAGGGGAGAAGAACGCAGGAAGGACTCCAAGGCTGAGCCCACTCTCAGGGAAAGGACTCAAGACTATTAGCAAGCATCTCCCCCATGCTGGCCAGACCGGAGCTTTAAGCCAGTCAGGGAGGAGCCCGCCCGGGGGGAGGAGAAAAACCCGCTCTGGATAAAGGGACAGGGCCCAGCAACTGGACAGCAACAGGGAATGGAGCCTTAGATTTTCTGAGGTTGGAGAGTGACAGTGTGGGAAGAGAACAGCTGTTTCCCACAGTCCCCTGAGAAGGGTGTGGCCAACTGGCAGCTCCGAGGTCAAGGGGAGCCAGTGCACTTCCTTTCTCTGAGGTTTCAGGTATGCTACAATAAGTAAACGTTCAAACAGGGATGCAAACACTGTAGTGGACTTCAGAAGTTTCCATTGGGCAAATTAAGGCTTTCAAAACATAAAATCAGGGGCAGGCATTGGAGCAGCAGTTAGGATGTTGCCCACGTTCCATACTGGAGTCTCTGGGTTCAAGTCCTGGCTCTGCTTCTGATCTCAGCTTCCTGCTAATGCCCCTGGGAAGCCCCAGGTGATGACCCAAGTGCTCGGGTCCTAGCCACTCATGCAAGTGATCCAAACTGAGTTTTAGCTTCCTGGCTTCAACCAGGTCTAGTTCTGGCTGTTGCAGGTATTTGGGGAATGAATCAACCGATGAAAGATCTCTCTCTTAAAAATAAATGAAACAAAAAGTTTTCAAAAATGTATACAAAACAGTGTAAGCATTCAATTTGCAAATAATCACAGAATTAATTTTAAAAATTTGTGGGCCATGTACTAAAGGCAGACGTAAGTTTAAAGCTGATGAACATCTCTGAGTGTCAGAGAGAGGGAGGGAGATACACACACACACACACACATCCACACAGATCCTCATCTGCTGGTTCACTCTCCAAGTGGGCACAACAGTCAGGACTTGGCTAGGCCAAAGTCAGGAACTAGGAACTCCACCCAGGTCTCCCACATGGTGACAGGGGCCCAAATATGGGCACCATCCTCCACTGCCTTCCCAAGAGCATTAGCAGCAAGCTGGATGGGAGTCAGAGCAGCCAGGACTTGAACCGCACTCCAGGATGGTATGCCTGCATCGTAAGTGGCAGCTTAACCCACTACACCACAACGCCAGATCCTGGAAATAAACACTTAAAAACCCAAATCTGAAGCTGCCTATGGGTGTGAGATCCCTACATGAAAAGCCTCTTCAGTGTGCCCCCTGGACAGATCCAAGAGAACCCCTCAACAGACCCTAAGTGTGGCCCCTGAGCCGCTGTGCAGGGTCAGGCTGGGGGACGAGTAGAGCAGCCCGTCCGGGCAGGTTCGGGCACATGGGAGGGAAACCAGAGCCTGGCGGTGTTGCCAAGTGTGCCAGCCTCCTGGGCCCACCCCATGGGTGCCTGCGCATGCCCCTCGCCGCCCTCCTGGCCTCCACGCCCCTCTGTCCTCCAGCCGACTTGGCTGCTGGCAGCAGGAAGGGAAGCAATGACAGTTACAAGATGCTGTCCTTTCACCTGAGGAAGGAACTTCTCTAGTCGGATGCAGAGGTGTCAGGGGAGGGGAAGGAATGGGAGAAACTTCTCATCTAGCCCCTGCAGTATTGTGAGCTTGCAACAGCACCAGAGGCTTGACTGGACTCTGGGCTCAGCATGCCATGTGACAGCAGGCTGCAGGAAGACGGGAGAGCAAGCCAGCCTGAACAACTGTCACTGCCTGCAAAGCAGGTGCATCAGTGGTGTTGGCAGTGGGGGCCCCAGCACATGCTCTCCCTCTGGGAGGTGCACTCAGACATGTGCAGCCTAAGGGACCACCAGCTGCACGCCTCAGGGGTCCTGCAGGAGGCCCACAGCTAGGTCTGTGACATCCAAGCAGGCCAGGCAGCCTGGGCACTGCAAGAGAAAGGGGTGGGGGCAGGGAGGAAACCCGAGTTCTTGGCTGCCGGAAGCTTTTCTATTTCCTGAAGACACAACCGGGAGCCTCAGGCTGTCTTCACTCCTGAGGAGCAAGGATTTCAGGAACAAAGGCCACACCCAGGCAGACTTGGGTGAGGCTGGGACTCAAAGTCCAAGGCCAGCCCTGACATGGGCAGAGAGATCATCTGCTGTAAAACCCAGTGTCTTCAGCTGGTACAGTAGGGTCTGCTTCCTGCCTCGCGGGTCTCAGCACCCTCCCTGCAGATGGAAAATATGAGACGTGGGGAGGGGGCGGGGTAGGGAGCCCCTTGGCTGGCCAGCCCTCAGCACCACGGTGGTAAACACCTGGAGAGAGGCCAGCCGTCTGGCGCCTTTAGCCTTCCATGTGTCCCCAGCCAAGATTCAGACCTGCATATTCTGGGCTCTTTCTGCCCCAGTTCACCCGAGCTTTAAATTATCCAGACCTGGGTCTGTCGACCAGGGGCTTACTTTGTCCAAAATGTCCCTCTGGCCCTAGACTGCCACCACAATATGCATTCTTACAAGTGGAGTGCTGAGGCAAAAGTGTGGGCCGGCGCAGTCTGGCCGCGCCTCGCCTGAGTCAGGCCGCGGCGCCACAACGTGCTCCTCCCTCCGGCGGTGCCCACGAGGCAGCAACGATCAGGTAAATTAGAGACCCCGCTGGAGCCAGCTAATCGTGGCAATTTAGGGAAAATAAGGCATATGCAGAGTCTGGGGGAATCAGTCCTGAGGTGGTCAAATCTCTCCTTCATTGGCTCATTCCAGAAACCACCCTGCATAATGAAAGATGGGAGATTATTCAGGAATGACAACCGGAACCACATCACAGAGTCTTGGAACACGCCTGTGATAATAGCAGTAGCGGTAATAACTAACGTGCTTCAGGCTATGCAACATCGCTGGCTTACCACGTGCTGGGCAGTTCTAATGCCTTACAGGCACTTACCTGGGAACTTGATTTCCATGTGCACAGGAGGACCTCTCACTGCCAGGTGTCCCCAAGCAGTTCCCTGGAAGACACCCCTTGCTGTCTCTCCACTTCTGACACAGACCTGTTGCGACTCTCCAACCCCAGCGTTCTAGCTCATGCTGCAGTCACAGGAGCAGGTGCATAGGAGAAACGGACCGCAGGCACTGTGTAGTCTCTGGAAGGCAAGTCCTGTTTGCTTGCTGCTATTGTTCTTCCAGGGAGTGGGGGCTAGGAGCAGGGGTCACTCAATCTCTGGAAACACAATAATAAAATAAAATAAACTACATAAAAATCATTCAGAAACTGTGAAATCTAAAATTGTTGATCTCAAAGAAGTTGTGAGCAGAATGATGGTTATCAGCTGCTGCAGGGAGTGGAAAGGAGGGAGGGGTGGGGAAAGGCTGGTCAGCGGTGTGAGTTACAGTTAGATAGGAGTTAGAAGTTCAGTCATTCTATTGCAAAGTAGGATGACTATAGATAATGATGTACTGTACATACATATGCTTTTTTTTAAAGATTTATTTATTTATTTATTTGAAAGTCAGAGTTACACAGAGAGAGAAGGAGGGGCAGAGAGAGAGAGAGAGAGGTCCTTCCTCCCGATTCACCCCCCAGATGGCTGCAATGGCCAGAGCTGTGCCGACCCAAAACATAAGCCAGGAGCCTCTTCCCGGTCTCCCATGTGGGTGCAGGGTCCCAAGGACTTGAGCCATTCTTTACTGCTTTCCCAGGCCATAGCAGAGAGCTGGATTGGAAGTGGAGCCGCCGGGACTTGAACCAGCACCCATATGGGATGCTGGCACTGCAGGCGGCATCTTTACCTGCTATGGCACAGCGCTAGCCCCATAAAATATGATTTAAAAATTAGATTTAATATCCCCTCCATCAAGCACACATGCAGGGCCAGTGCTGTGATGTAGCAGGTAAAGCCACTTCCAGCAATGCTGGCATCCCATATGGGTGCCAGTTCGAGTGCCTGGGATGACAGTGGAGGATGGTCCAAGTGCTTGGGTCCTTGCACCCACGTGGGAGACTGGGAGGAGGCTCCTGGCTCCTGGCTTTGGATCTGTGCAGCTCCAGCTGTTGCAGCCAATTGGGGAGTGAACCAGCGGATGGAAGTCCTCTCTCTCTCTGCCTCTCCTCTCTCTAACTCTGACTTTGAAATAAATAAATAAATCTTAAAAAAAAAAAAAAAACAGCACACATGCCTTGCATGGTGCACATTAGGGTAAGTGTTGTTCCAATGCTAGCTTGCATGAACCATGTTTCTCTGGAGGAGCTGTCCCATTGGGGTAGGCAGTGCAAAGAGCTTCTGTAGCTGGGCACTGGGTGGTGGCTGCACAGCTGAGCACCGGTGCCTAGGGAGCTTCAGCGGCTGCATCATGTGTTGTCCTCTCGACGGACCTGCGAAGGTGGTGCAGCATCCCAATTACACATGAGAAAGCTAAGGTTCAGGGAGGTCAAGTGACAGCCTCACTATCATGCAGCCATTAAGATCGGAGCTTGGATGGAAGGCAGGCTTGCCTGACTCCAAGGACCACAACTCCAGACCAGATGCAAAGCAAGGTAAGGACAAGAGAGTGTCCAAAGTTATGCCCCATGGCTCCCAAATTACACATGTGATTGTAGAAACCTGCCAACTCCAGCCTTTCTGGTCTCCTTGTTTTCTCAATCCAGTTCCAATGCATGCTTTTTAGATGTGTCCCAAGTGGAGTCCGCCTTCAGCTGCAAAGAGCTGCTCAGACGATTGGAGCTAGCCCAACTGGTAGGTCTGAGAAAAAGCGTCACTTCCGGAGCCGTCGTCCAACAAGCACAGCTGGACTAGAAGGACCCAGATGCCTGTCCTGGTGCAGGAGGGCTGCCCCCAGTCCTGCTGAGCCTGACCAGGGGGTGTCCTGGCTATGGAAGCAGGCATCACTGGCTGGCACCCTGAGTCTGGAGGCTCTCTGGGAGCCCTCCTGAGTGCACATGAGCTAGCCTCTGTGTGGATTCACATCCCAAGGAGCCAACAGCGGTTCCGGGTCTGGCATGTCTAACAAATGCAGCACTCAAGCCTACGGCACTGCAATTGTTACCTCATGTTGTAAAGGCACTAAAGCTGCAAGCAATTAGCACTGCATCTGTAAGACCAGGGGGAATCGACCAAGAGAACAGGGGCTTAAAATGACTATTTTGGTCCATATGGAAAATTGGTAGGCTGTGTGCATGGTACACTCCTTTCAGATATGTTTTTTTTAAACCTTACATTTTTTAAAATTGGGGTTTTGAATGTTATTCCAGAAAAAGCAGCAGGATTCCTTTAACATCAGACAGAGATCTGTAAGTAAATTAAAAAGCTGTTGGAGCCTCCAGTAAGGAAATTAACATTATGAATGAACTTGGGCATTAGAGCAAATTAATCAAACTACATAAATTACAACTTTAATCAGTCATGGAATTTCAATACTCGAAAGGACCTTGGAAATTATCTGTCCTGAGAGCAAGAATTATGGAAAATAAATAGGCAAGTGGAGAAGAACCTCCAAACTAGAGAAATGCACAAAGAAACAAAGAGTCAGGAGGCAGCGTGCCTGGTGGTTTGAAAGCTTCTGGGGGTTTGCACCCACAGCCTGGCTTCGAAGCGAGGCTCTGCTTCTTGATGGTAGTATGAATAGGTTGAGCTGTGAACTCCCTGAGCAACAGTGTACACCTCTGTAAAACAGGTGCAAAATAAGGTGACCTCAAGTCTTAAAGGAGACCATTCATAGAGAGGGCTTAGAATGGTGCCTAGGACACCATATGGTGCCTGGGATATCAGCGCTCAGTAAATATTAGCTCCATGGAAAAGGAAACTCCACAGACAGAATCTAAGTGAGCCAGACTGGCGCTCTGTGTATCACTGTGCTCCTTCTGTTTCATCTGTGCATGAAGTAAAAGACAAAATGCAGTGCATGTAAGCACACAGAGAGCTGACCACAAGACACTTTTTATTTCTGGATGGCAGGGAACCACATTTCAGCTGTAAAGGAAGGTGGGCCTGAGAAGTGAGAGAAGAGGACCCGTGAGACCATGAGGCTCCCCTCCTATAAGGTTTACTGAGAGCTGCTTCCAATGGCCAACGTTCAGAATCCTGGGCGAATTCCTGGCCCAAAGGGGTTCAAAATGAATGAACAGCGACCTTGTTCTACTTTAGCCTGGAGAGGGACTTTGTGCTGCAATAGAAGTGACTGCACAGGAAAAGTTAGATGTTAACAATTAGAAATATCTTACACGGCCGGCGCCATGGCTCACTAGGCTAATCCTCCGCCTTGCAGCGCCGGCACACCAGGTTCTAGTCCCAGTCGGGGCGCTGGATTCTGTCCCGGTTGCCCCTCTTCCAGGTCAGCTCTCTGCTGTGGCCCAGGAAGGCAGTGGAGGATGGCCCAAGTGCTTGGGCCCTGCACCCCATGGGAGACCAGGAGTAACACCTGGCTCCTGGCTTCGGATCAGCGCGGTGTGCCGGCCGCAGAGCACCAGCCGTGGCGGCCATCGGAGGGTGAACCAATGGCAAAGGAAGATCTTCCTCTCTGTCTCTCTCTCTCACTGTCCACTCTGCATGTCAAAAAAAAAAAAAAAAAAAAAGAAAGAAAGAAAGAAAGAAAAAGAAATATCTTACAGCACAACACGGATAACACTTACTGAAGGAAGGAGTGCAGCATTCTGGAAGAAGTGCAGTTCCTACAATAGAAAAAACCCTGAAGCTGTCAATGGGTACTGTGAGATCAAGGGGAGGAGAGGTAATCCCTTCAACCCTCAGTTTTCCCACACAGAAGTTGTTGTTAAAGGCCAGCAATGGCCTGCCACACTGCTGGTACCAAATACATACGCGTGTCTTCTTCCCATTTCTTCCACATTCATTAAATTCATAAACAGCTCTAGGGGCAGGTGTCTGGCATTGCAGTCAAGAAGTCACTTGGCACTCCTTCATCCCATACCAGACTCTGGTTTGAGGCCTGGCTTCCTATGAATACACTGTCTGGAGAGTTCCAGCTTCCTACTAATGCACACCCTAGGAGGTAGCAGGTGATGGCCCAACTAGAAGGGTCCCTCCTGCCCATGAAGGAGACCTGGTTTGAGTTCCTAGCTCCCAGCTTCAGCTTAGTTCAGCCCCAGCTGTTTTTGGGCATTTGAGGAGTGAATAGCAGATATAAAATCTCTCTCTCTCTCTTTGCCTTTCAACTAAATATAAATAGACATTTTAAAATTTAAAAATAAACAGTTCTATTTTTGAGCAGGAAAAGAGGGCTAGACTCACTTGACTGTGTATCTCACACTGATAGGAAGTGCAGCTGTTTAGACGGACACCCAGGAAGAGACAGCACTCTCCAGTCAGCAACAATGCACCTGAACTACAGAGGGAATTAGCTCTGGAATGCAAATTTCCCAAACGTATAGTGGCAGACAAGACAGCTGTAGAGCGAACAAGAGACAGGGGTCTTCACCCTATTTCTGCTAACTGGCTTTTTTACCTTAGGCTCCTCACTTAACATTTAACCTGTGTCTCTTGCTCCCAATCTATAGAATGAAGGCTTTCAGTAGACAATATCCAAAGGCCCCTAGAGCTTTCAAAATCCTATGTCTGTGGTTTGGCTCATGCTATTAAAAAAAAAAAAAAAAAAAGTGTGACTACGCTCAACTCCAACAGCCATAGGGCCTGACTTCAAGTCTTCCTCCTTGGTTCAAGCCATGCGTTGTGGCCTGGGCTGGTTGCTCCCTGTAGGTAGATATCATATATATTTTTTTTGACAGGCAGAGTTAGTGAGAGAGAGAGACAGAGAGAAAGGTCTTCCTTCCGTCGGTTCACCACCCCCAATGGCTGCTACGGATGGCGCATTGCGCCGATCCAAAGCTAGGAGCCAGGTGCTTCCTCCTGGTCTCCTATGCAGGGCCAGGGTCCAAGCACCTGGGCCATCCTCCACTGCCCCCCTGGGCCACAGCAGAGAGCTGGACTGGAAGAGGAGCAACCGGGACAGAATCTGGTGCCCTAACCGGGACTAGAACCTGGGGTGCTGGCGTAGCAGGTGGAGGATTAGCTTAATAAGTCGTGGCGCCAGCCTTGTAGGTAGATATCGTGCAAACAACATACAAATGAGCCAGGCTGCCAGCTGTCCCTGCTGTCCCTGCCCCTATTGCTCCCTCTGGAGCTCACCTGAAGCCATGTGAGCTGGGAAAACGTGGATCGGCCATGAAAAGAGGATCTGATTGTGAAAATGAGATTCCTGTTGAGTTTAGAGCAGCAAACATGCTCTAAAGACTGCTTTATAGCTAAATGATGCCTCATGAATTAAAAAAAAACCAAAGCATTACCACCCACAACTCTTCAGGGTGTCCTATGGCTGAAACAAATTTTACCAACTCCCATCTGACCCCACCCTCTAAACGTTTTATGGTTAGAATTAGCATGGAGGTGCATGCTAATCCTAGTCCTATACTCAAATCAGTGAAAGAGCGTAGGTTTTACAGAATTTTAAGATCTCACATACCTAACTATCTGATTCAGCACTCTAATCTTATAGTTCTCCCAACATCTAGCAGAGTTCTGTATCTAGTAGGCTGGAGCTCCTCAAAAACAGAAGTGATGCCTCCTTCCTTCCTACACTGAAATTGCTCACATTCATTTCCTAGGGCCACGATAATCAACTACTACAGACTAGATGGCCTAAAGCATAGGAATGTTATTGCCTGACAAGTCTGGACTTCTAAGATGAGGGTGTCAGCAGTGCTGGTTTCTTCTGAGGTCTCTGACCTTGGCTTGCAGATGGCCCTCTTCTCTCCTGCCTTCATCTGTCCACATCTCCTCTTCCTACCAGGATACAAGTCCGGTTGGATTCAGGCCCATCCTAATCATCTCATTTGCACTTAATTACCTCTTTAAAGACCCTCTCCAAATACATCACATTCTGAGGGACTGAGTTAGGACTCCAACACATTAAGGGGGAGGTGGGGGCAAATTCAGCCCATAACGCTGCTCAGCGAGTGTTGTATGAATGGTGGAAGCATGGATGCATGGTGCATGGATGGACGGACAACCAAGTGACCAACAGATACTGGATGGATTGAATGAACAACACAATCACTTGTGGAGACTGGGTTTTGCTGCAACGTCTTCTCAAAGGTTTTAATCCAGTCTTAACATTTTTAACAATTATTGCTCATTAAACTCTTCCAAGCTGACAAAAAATGGCCATCTGCAGACTTACCAATGCTACTTTCTCTGTCCTAATCATTCTTGTCTTTAATGGCTTCCTATAGCCAAGAGAAAATCAGCATTTGCCTGTAAAAATAACTACTACCTTTTCTATAACTACCTACATACTTGGTCTTCACATTAAGAAAACAGAAAGAACTAAGAGAACAGTTTTAGATCTGTTGTTTGATATTTCAGTATTTGTTTGCTTTTAACTGAACCTGGCTATACTCAATTTCTACATTGTTTTAGCACTTTGATTCCATTTAATAGATTATAGAAATGCCCATACAGAATTATAGGGAAGAGGAAAATGTCTACCACGGACATCAGACAATCTCTTTCCTGAGTCACCTAGTCACTCTGAGTGTTTATTACATCCCTAATGACATAAAAATTCACAAACCAACCCTCCATTACCATGGTTCCTTTTGTATTTTTCCCTCAGGCTATAGAATGAACTTGGTCATATGGAAAGCTACCAAGGTCATTGTGGATGCTTCTGGTCAGGGGTTAGACAGGTGCCTCTGCACCTATGCCCTGCTCTGTCCTGCCCTGCCCTGAGTCCTGTGCTGGGAATCTGATTGAGAACTTTCCTAGCACCAGCCTACATCACAGCAGGAAGTGCCGCCTGTGGTCACACCCAGCCATAATGAATGAACTGTTTCATGAGCCTGATTCACTGGTGTATGAGCCCATGTGGGCATTCATTCATTTATTCACTCCTCATTCATCCATTCTCCACTGGAGATCTTGCTTAACAGATAAGCCATAGCATAATTGTCCCTTGAAGCAAATGTGGTAATTTTTTAAAAGTCCCATTATGATTCAGAACATTTCTGTGCTTCTAAATAACGGAGAGAGATAGACGGATAGTGTCAGTTGTGGCCGTATAGCATGTGAGTTAGGTATTCAAATTTAAACTTAAATTTATTGTGGTTCTTTGTCAGTGACAATGATGAGTAATCTTGCCTCTGACCCTTGGACAGACTGGCCACTCTAAACTTAGAACTCACCCATGCGATTGTCCCTCTGCTGCCTTCCCCCGAGTCTTCCTGGGGTGAAGCAGAGTGAATGAAGATTCTTGACTGAATACCCATGCAGAATGAGTCCATGAGGCTTGAAGTGCCCCACCCCACCCCCACTCCCACCTGCAGCGTTCTCTCCCAATCCTGCACAGCAAGACATTCCTCTTAGGAGCTGGTCAAACACATTCATGTGCTATAAAACTTCTTGTTAGGGACTCAAGCCAAGTGACCTCTGATCTGTCTTGTCTGCCTCTCTTTGAAAAATGTGCTTTCACTGTCCTGTTTCAGACATGTTTTACTGTAAACCACTTCACATTCTTTTGGAGAGTAGGTGGCACGCACGCCATAGTTGAAGAAAGCCTTCAAGCCAGCATGATCTTTCCAGTGTCAGAGACATTCAGTGAGGAGGAGGTGACGGGGAGAGCTGGGTCCCCTCGGGCACACCAAACTGGGGCACCTGTCACTCCCATCGTCAGGCCTTGTGCCCTGCAGGCTGAGGGACGGTGGAAGAACCATGCAGAGGCCTGTTCAGAGACCCTTTCTGCCAGAAGCAGGGCTCCTGATTCACTGGAGCCTGACAATTTCACGTCACAGGAGGACAGGATGCAGCCAAGAGTTGCTGCTTGGTCCTATTTTTGGCCCGTGAGGAAGAACCAGCAGGATGACAGCCTGGAAGTGACTGGCACTTGGAGTGAAATGGGACCTTGTCATCATACGATTTGCCAGAGCCATGGAAGAGAATCTGAATACTTTGTGTTCCCAAGACAGGAGGAAAGCAGAGCTCCACAAGTCCTGAGTAAAGAAGGTGAGTCAGTGAATTACGCAGAGGGCAGCAGGAGATGGGGGATAAAGTACGCTCGGGAGCCTGCATAGACCTGAGTCAGGCTCCGGGCCCTGCGCTTCCAGGTGTGCAAACATCACCTCCCTCTCTCTCAATCTCCCCATATGTAATCATGCATAATAAGATCTACCTTATAGCTGAGTGTGAGTGCCTGAATCATGGTAAACACTCCATAATGGTTAGCTATTGTCATTGTAGTGCTTACCACTATGTGTAAGACACAAAGCTCCATTCTCTTTTGACTTCATGGCCAGAGACTCTGCTCATGTAGAACCTGGTATAGAAGGATTGGAGGCTCCACATAACTCAGTGCTCACTGTCCCTTCATATACACTTTTGGAGAGGAAGAAGACAGTGAGTATTGAAGACACCACTATGTCTCCATGAGATTCTATTTGGCAAGGACACTTAGAAAGGCAGGAAGGGACTGCAGCCAAGAGCAGATACAAAGGAGTGGCAGGGAAAAAAAAGAATGCAGTCAGCCAAGTGGGAGGTGGGGGCTGGGATCATACATCCCTAGAACCACGGCG